TAGAAAACCAAAGTCTTCCACGTCAATTCCTTAAATCTACGTAGACGTGTGTGTGGGCACACTTGAGACTAAAATGGGTTTGATCAAACACTCAAATTTTCCACAAACACCAACGCATGCACGATGTGGAATTTTCGGGAGAAAATTTTTGTCCTTTTCTCTATAATAGGGAATTCGGCCAGCCCCTCTAAAATTAGGTTAAAAAAATTGTCACGTGCAATTTTTCATCATCCCTTATTTATAGAGTAAAAGTTCAACTTCTAGAAGGAATCAAATCTCTCTCTCTAGTTTGAATTTTGAACAAAAATACTCCTCTTCCTTTATCCTTATGTGGCCGGCCATGCTTAGGGTTTTTACCCTGTATGTGGCGCCAATCTCAGATAGGGAAGGAAGAGAAAAAATCACCATTTATCATGTAGTCTAATTTTAATTCAAATTCAAATTCGAATTTAAGTCAAACTTAAATTAATTTGAATTCTAAATCGAACAACTTATCAAATAAGTTTAAAAGGATAAATTTAAATTATGTTCACAATTCAAATTCAAATTTAAATAATCACATTATTTAAATAATAATTAATTCTCAATTAATTATTTTCGAGTATTTAATTTTAAAATTTCATAATTCTAAAATTCCCATTTTATCCTTTGTGTCTGGTAGAATTACTAGGATGACGCGGGGACTAATGGACCTATAATCCCGAGCTCCAATAAAATCAATAATTAATTAAACACTTTAATCAATTAATTAATTCTATTAATTCCAATAGTTACTCCACTATAAACTTGGAATTGAACTCTCAAAATTATAGACATTAATTACTTCTAAACTTTATATCTTCATCCTTGAGTACCATTGATTCTCTAATGGATAGTGATTCATAAAACACATTCATGAACCATAGCACTCTTACTAATCAAAGAACCGAATCAACACTCAAGAGAATTATTTATCTACTTCTTTCTTAAGAATGAATGGATTCCATCTCGTATAATAACATTCTCGGCTACCTATTTCATCATGTCTCCAAAATACAAGGAATAAGATTCAGGGTCTCAGAATCCGTACCGAGTAAATTAAAAGACACAAA